ATTTCTTCAGTCTGGTAATTCTCTTCCTTCTTCTGAAAAACCGTCTATTTATATTATGTCTACCTTTACATCTTATGCAAGAAAGCATTTTATGCAACATTTTACACTTCTGCATTTAATTTTCCTTTGTCTTGTGTTATAGTGCTCAATGTCTTGTGTTATAGTGCTCAATGTCTTGTGTTATAGTGCTCAATGCAGTTTCTCACAGTACACTCACTATTTCTGATGATTTTTTTCCTCAGATAATGCCTTTATTGTTCAAATTAAATTTACTGGAAATACTTTTTCATCCTTGACAGTTTGTTTGGTTGCATTACTGTATCTGTATTGATGTTTGTCTGAACTTTAATGAGTCTCTGATCTAGTTACGTACTGAGATTGTAATGTTCCCGATTATTAATTCAGTGTTCATGAAGATCATTCCACGTCGGCTTCATTAGCTGTTGGTTGCACAATTGGTTCCCTGATACAGTATCAGTGTCTGCTATCCTCCCTCTTAAACTAGGTAGATTGAAGTCTCCAAGATAATAACTGGTAAGTGATTTTCTAATTTTTAGGCAGTTTTCTATTTTGTTCATCTGTTCTGTGAATTCCTCAACCATTGCATCCGCATGTTTGTAAATTAGATTAAGAGCAATATCTCTGTGCTCTATTGCCACTCCAAAAACCTCAACCACATAATTAATGAAATTTAGTATTTCAGTGCATACAAGTTCCTCTTTAATTTACTAACCTACTCCTTTGTTTGGATTAATTACTTAATCACAAGTCTAAAGTATGCAAAGGGTACAAGAAGCTGCAGTCTAAATATAGTAAGTCATTCTGCAGGAATAATCTACACAGCTCCTGAGAGATGAAACCAAGCCATGTACTGTACTTCAAGACGAACTTTAATCAATTTAAAAATACAATTTTTTTAATCAATTAAAAATACAATTGAGTTTCAGGATTAATTTGACCCACCCAGATTTCAACTGAAATCATTTGTCTCTATATTTACTATATATTTATACCAATAAAATTTATGTTATTGTTATCACAAAAAAATAACACCAACGTTCACACACACACACACACACACACACACACACACACACACACACACACACACACACACACACTGGAACTATGTAGAGAGATATCAGAGTAAATGTTTTATATTTTGTAAATGATGTTTTGCTAATAAAAGATTTATCAAATATAGCAGTTACATGAAGAAATCACACTAGCGTGATATTGTATATATATCAGTGAGAAAATTAACTGGAGCTCTTGAGTGACTAACCCGCAAACGAGACACTCCCAGCTGCTGACGCTAACCAGTGGACCACCCTGACTTGGTATAAGTTATACAACTGGATTTCTATTGAATGGCAAGAAGTCTGGATGCCTCTACTGAAGCCAGTCCAAGTTTTACGTATGATTACCAAGAACTCGGGTGTAGGCACCATAGTTCTAGTACACCCAAGTGTAGGCACTAAGGTGAACGTAGTTCATCCAAGTGCTAATACTCTGGTAATAGTACTAGTTCACTCGGTTCTAGTACTGCAAGTGTACGAGAACTATGTTCTAGTACACTTGAGTGTAGGCAATCGGGTGTACTAGAACTATGTTGCCTATGCCCAAGTTCTTGGGGATTACACGTAAGACTTGGACTGGCTTCGTTAAAAGCCTCCAGACTTCTGTGATTTCAGTTGAATTCTGGTTGTATAACTTATATCAAGTAAGGGTGGTCCAGTTGTTAGCATCAGCAGCTGGGAGTCTCTTGGTTCGAGTCACCTCAGAGCTCCAGTTGATTTTCTCGAGTCCAGCAGTGATATACAGGACAGAAATATATATATACCCTGTGTATCTCTGCCTATAATGCCATTATGTCATCTACAAATAGAGTCCATTCTCATTTTGTCATTTCTCCATGCCAAAACCAGAATGAAACAACTCGTATCAAGTTTTCCAGATGAGCAATCCTAACATCACCTCAAGCACTAAGAGCTGTTAAGGGATATCTACTGTAGGTAAAGATCAATGTCTATATTACTTAACTAATTCTAAGGGCATTCTGCTAAAAGCTTTCTGTGTATACTTCTAATGCCTATCTTTAGCACACAAGCTTCATATACAATGACAAGGGTGTTCATGAAACCCAGCTTTACCAACTTACGCATGGCTAACCAGAGAGAAATGTGTAATAATGATACAATAATATTTGTATTATAACTCATAAAATTGCATCTGCCATTCAGTTATGTGAATTTTATATTATTCATTTTCTACTATACGAAAAACACAAATGAACAAAATATGTTGCTGGGTCCCAATGGTTATGAGACAACATAAAAGTGAACTACAGTGCTCACAACTACACCATGAAATATATTGTATTTTTATTAAAATATATATACCTGTATATACTGTATATTATTTGATATACTGTACAGTACTGTGTTTCCCAATGTGAAGCATAATATGCCTCCACAGGAGGGTAATTTGAAGATTTTTTTTTTTTGGGGGGGGGGGGGGGGGAGGGGGGGGGAAGGGGGAAGGGGGAGGGGGGGAGGGCAATTTGAAGATTATGCATATAATAATAGCATTAATTATATTAATAGCATTAATAGCATGCAAGGCTATTTTCTCCAATATTCAAACAACTCATGTACTTTTCAATTACTAAAACAAGTTTTGATTAATAGTCACAATTTAAAAAAAAAAAAAAAAAAAAGAGCATCATAAGGCCCAAAAATGACAGCTAGTTCTCAAAATGGCACATCCAGGCAGGTCATAGAGTAAATGCCAAACAGAGAGCATAAACAATAATCTCAATTAGCTTTAAAGGAGCTTTCACAGACAACAAGCATTTGTTGACATGTCTTATCATTGGGATTCAGAACTATTTGTCCTTTGTGTCTGTGTACCAATTTTTGGCAGCTTTCAGTTTCCCAAAAAAAACTTTATGCACTAGTGCACTGTTCTAAATTAGTAGGCAATTTTGAATTCAATTATCAAATGTATTAACAGCATCAAAACTAATGCCAAATCTGAGCTTTTTTTTCAAACAATTTTGTGAGGAGCAAAATGGTGAACATATAAGACTATTGCTTCACACCGAGGTGAGATGGCTGTTACAAGGAAATTGTGTGATAAGATTCATGGATCTATTTAATATTCTTTGTGAATTTGTAAAAGACAAACCTGAAATGAAACTCCTACAAACAGTTGATGGTGAAGCATTTATGACTTAATTAACAGTTTTCTTTCAGAAACTGAATACAGTATGTTAAATAAACAACTGCAAGGAGCAAATAAAACCTTTTTAATGCAAAGACTAAGATATTTGGCTTCATTGGATTTATGCAATTATGCCAGAAGAAATTTTATCTAAAAAATTTGACAAATTTTGTTGGCTAACTAAAGTGTGAAGTTACTAATGCTGCCACACTTGTTATTGGGGATCACCTGAGCAAAATGGTCTGTGATTTGAATGAAAGATTAACTGATTTGAAAAAAAATTGTTTTCCCACCTTGGATAACTCTGCCAGTGAAAGTGGATTTAAGTGTGGTGGCTTTGCAAAATCAAGAAGAATTATCAGACATGCAAAATGATCTCATTTAAAACCTTATTTAAAATAAAAGGAGCAATGGCATGGCTATGCGATGAAACAAACAAAATATTCAAATGTCTATTATCCAATATATTTAGATATCCAATACTGTATCTAAATTTAGCAAGAAAATTGCTATCACCATTCCCGAGTTCATATTTAGTTGAATGTGGGTTTGGTGTTGTAAGTGATTTATTGATAAAAAATAAAAATCTACTGGTTATTATACACTATGGTGATTTGCAATTAAAATTAACCAAATTACCACCTTAAATAAAAACTCTTTGTAGCAGACACCAAACACAAGGATCGCATTGATGTTAATTTCATTTTCCAGAATTCAGTTAAATTTACATTTTGCATGCCAGAGGCTCGATGTCAATTGTTAGAATTTGTCATTTATTCTAACAATCTTATTGTATTTATTGTCATTTAAAAGTGTTGTATTGTATTGTCATTTATTATTGTTATTTCACATCATTTATTGTAATACAAATATATATTATTTATTGTAATTTAAATCACACATTTTATTGCATTCTTTCATATAAATTAGAATTTTGAGATTTAAATAGGCCGCAAAATTAAAACTTAACACTTTGGTGTACCCCGCGCGCCACCCTTCAACTGTGCGATATGGGACCCAGGGTGTCATGGGAGCGCGCGTAAATTCGGAAAAGTGTATACTCTCTAACTTTGTCACCTTAATTCTCATCCTACGAGATTAAATTTGGTGTCATTGTGTTCACAATAGAATTCTCTACAGCACTAAATGCATATAAACTCCAAAAGCCCGGCTAATTACCCGCAGAAAACAGAGAAAGTGCGAATGAGTTACCCAGGAGTGCGCAAACGCGATAAAATGTTTTCACTATTTTCACTCTGGTCACCTCAATTTTTGTCCTAGGTCTTTCATTTTGGTCTCAATGGGTTCGCAATAGAATTCTCTAGAGGAACATTAGCATATAAAATAAAAAACCTGGTCACGCTCCAACCGCCGACGAGTTGAAGACGGACCACGCGTTAACCGCGAGTGAGCGCTCAGACGCCTTCTAGCTACACTCCCAATTCCCTTCCTTTTCAAGCCTTTCTTTCACAATTTTCTTCCTGGAAGGGCCTTGTTCATGATCACTATCCATCGTGGAGTAAGCGTAGATAGGTTCTAAAGCCGCAGTAAGAAATATAGCCACGGAAAATAGACGAAATGTTCACACGTTTGAGATGTGAGGGGAGGCGACATTGGTCACAACAGTGGAGCAAAAACAATGGGCCGACATCGTGTGCCAAGCCACCTGAGGGCCACGAGGCTCAACAAAGAAAATGGGAAGACATCGGCGCACATTTTAAAACCAGTCCCAAAAAAATCGGATAAAAACCTGATTTTTGGCGATTATTTAAAGTGGATGACGCAATGCTGCGTCATCCCCGGTATTACCGCCAGTAAACGGATGACGCAATGCTGCGTCATGCCCGGGCGAAAGTGTTAAGTTTCCTGATGACATCATGGAAACTTTTTTTTTTTTAGCCCCTCAGCCGAGGGGAATATTAATTATTTTAGGTGCTCAGATGGGGCATGGGTCAAAAAAAAAAAGTTGGGAAATGCTGCAGTATACATACCATATATTGATACTGTATGTGGTAACAAGAATCAGTTTTGATAAGCTTTAGATTTTAGTACTAAAATGTTTCCATCTCAGTATTGTTATTATTATGTATAATAGTGTTTAATACAATCTTCCCTGCATTTATTGTCTTTTATAAAGTACTATACTTTAATAGTCTTTTTTTTTTCCTCTCTCTCCATTGGTCATTTTTATATAAACTATTATACAAAAAAGTGAAAGTTGATTGCATTATTGCAATCAACTGACTGCAAGCTGTTTCTCCCAAATTCAATCCAGGAGCTTTGATTGCAATAATTGCAACAAATACATTGTGGATCATAACAGCTCTTCTTGCAGTTTCTAAATTGCAATTTTCTAATGTGCCTATGTTGCCCTCTTTCTCTTTGCCTTCCTCTGAATCTCTAACCTTGTCTTTATTGAGCTTTCTTAAATTAAGGTGCTTGTACTCTTGATTTTCTTCCTTACTTTCTTTATCATAATTTGAATTTTGCATCATTTCTTCCAAATCTTAAGTTCTTTTTAGTTACTTTGTCATATATTTTACCCTTCCAACTTGCTGCATAACTTCATTAATTTTACAAATTCAGAGCTACAGTACTAGTATTAATAATGCATTTTACTCATACTTTTAAAAAATGTCTAATAATTAAAAAACTTAAATACAACTTTCCAAAACATAAATGCACACAAACCCCCTTCACCTATCTGGACACATGCAGAGATTTTTTTTTATTTTGGCTCTGTTCCTAACTTTGCCCTATTTTTTATGGTATTTTCTTCTCCCTTCACCCTAATTAGTCCATTTATTCCCAAATCTCTTTGACTCTTTTTCACTCACCAGTGCCAATGACTGCCCTCGACTCCTGCATCATAAACATGGCCTTTTCAAGTGCCGTGAGGAAAGCAAAAGCAGAGGCACTTGCGTCTGGAGGAGCTGCTAAGCTAATCTCCTTCTCCTCTTCTCCGGCCAAGCAGTACTGCACTACCAGGGATGATACTGTGCAATTTCCCGAGGGATTCTGTGGAGATCAATAATACACTCAAAAGAACTTGTACAGTAAGTCATGAGGCAGCCACATTAAGATTAAACAGTACCGCACATTTATCAAGGTTGGTAAACACCACAGGATATAAGCATTTGTATGTAGTATTTGTGCAACAATTTATTTTTTGTTTAAGTACAGTACAGTAAAGTATTATGATTCAGTTTCTTAACTCCTGGACTGTACAAGGATTACTCGAGGCCTTATCAGGATGTGCACAGAAAAATATTATAAAAACTTTTTTCTTCTTCCAATATTGTTAAAAACTAGGCCTTAAGGCATTAGAACAATGCTCCAAAACTTTGATCATTTTTCAAGATGGCAGATGTTTACTGCAAGCCTCAAATACTGATCTCACACTGTGCACCAACAGGAGTTTCAAATGTTGCAAGTAGCTAAAACATCTGAGGATGGTACACACAATGGGTCAAACATCTGAGGATGGTATGCACACACAATGGGTCAAACATCTGAGGATGGTATGCACACACAATGGGTCAAACATCTGAGGATGGTATGCACACACAATGGGTCAAACATCTGAGGATGGTATGCACACACAATGGGTCAAACATCTGAGGATGGTATGCACACACAATGGGTCAAACATCTGAGGATGGTATGCACACACAATGGGTCAAACATCTGAGGATGGTATGCACACAATGGGTCAAACATCTGAGGATGGTACGCACACAATGGGGGTCCAACATCAGACATTTCAAGTGCCCTTAAATAAGCACAAATCTATACTATGCCCATATTTAGTTCCTCATACATACAGAACTTTACTGCATAAATATCAGTAGCTTTTATGAGTTCCACTGTTATAGTTCCATCATCTAGATAAAGAAACTCATGATTTAATCCTATACACTTTTACAAAAATACAATTACAAATATTGCTATAATTTGAGATATAATACAGAAATTCACATTTTGTATGAATATACAATACTCTATGAAATTTTGTGTTGTTAGCTTATAGACTGACAATAACTTCACATGACTATCAGAGTGTCTTACTCTCATGTGACCATACATGACCTCACCTGATTGCGGCTACCCACTTGGAGTCCCATTATCCGGTGCATGGGTATTGACAGGGGTGGAGCAGAGTCATTGTACGGCCCAGAAACAATGAAGAACCGATGGTCAGAGGATAAACGACACTGCACCAGGTCCAATGAAGCGTCATTTCCCAGGCACAATATGGCTCCTGAAGGTACAGAAGTCATGCATCATATACAGTTTTTAAATTGCATGCACAAAACTAGTGTTAAATGTAATGTAACACCAATTTTCTGAGTGAGCCCCAGTGGCTCCCTGAAGCTACTATCTCTGATAGTGTCATACTACTAGGTCCTATCAGTTGTGGAATTTTAGGCCTACTGGGGACCAAGAGCCAAAACCTGGCCCTCTCACAGAGGCACAAGGAGCAGTGCCATTTATATATTAAGTTATTCATTCATGCCACCACCGAGGAAGGTACCCAGAAAGTCGGCAAAACAAAATGAAACACTGCTGGCTTTAAATGAGACCACAGCCTTCAGAAACAGCTATAAATCTCATAGAAATGTAAACAAACTATTGAAATTTCATGAAACTAGCGCCAACTTGTTTGCCCTCCTGCCCCCCTCATTTGGGGAGAGGGAGGGATGCAGCTAGGGGTCAGCCAGCAACTTCCTTAAATATAACCTAGAAAAATATCACAACTCACGTATAGGCATTGGATGTTGACCACTCGTTTCCCACACATCAGACTACACTGCAAGAACCTATCAAGATTAAAGAAGGGATTGTACCTCTTGTACCTCTTTATGCACAATTCAATCCTAAGGAAAGCTGTGGATGAGTCATGCCTGCCGAAATTAACCTAGAGTATTGGCAACAAAATTCTGACGAGTCTAGTTAGAATTCAATGGTAAGAAACCATAAATATTTATTGAGAAAGGGTTAAGTAAAGTCAAGAGGTTAAGTTTACTTAAGTAAATGTTAAGTTTACTTACATCAATTGCTAATGAAATATTAAGAGCTTCCCAGATACACACAGAGGACTAAATGAATGACATAATAATTCACGATAAATTGTACCTGTTTTACCCCGTTAAAATAAAGTACAGTAGTACAAATGTGCTCACCAGTGACGAGAGCCTTGAGGTCTTTATTGTAAAATATGTTTTCTCTTGATGTTGCCTCTGCGCACGGTGTACACACTCTTACTGGGTCAAGAAAACACATTCTTGGTAGAGCCACACGGTTCTCACAGCAAGAGGAACAGCATACTCGCCCACATCGACGACAGTGGTGCTGTGAAATCACAGGTTTGGTTATCATTGTCCCAACTTGAATGTAAAATAGTATGACCAGTGACCAATGTTTTGATGAATTAACAGCAGAAATATAAATTCTGCAAGGTAATTTTTAAAGAATCTGCTCAAAAAAAGTAGGAGTAGAACATTTGAGAGAATTTTAATAGATAATAGATGCTCTATGAGTGATAAGGATTAAGAATAAGACAGATAAAATAGCATCTTTTGGAGGGCCTAGGTCTTGTTGCCTGCTTAGGCGTGTAAAATACTCGTGTGATACTTGACAAACATGGTGAAACAAGTAATGTATATAATTTTCTTATTGTTGATCTTGACTCTGAAATGAAAAAAAATCAAGCAAGGAATGAGGATACAGTATAAGAAATATCTAAGGAAAGAGAAACAATGGGCAAGTAGAAAGAATGAGTGCTGATAATTGCAGAGAAATGAAACACGAGAGAAGCGTTAACGGTCAAGAAGCAAATTTATACACAGAGCAAATCAAATAGTTTGGACATCATTAAAAAAAAATTATCACCACAATTATTGAGAGACGATTTAATAACCGAGGCAATGCCAAAGAACACACTTTCAATAATACGACATTTTATATAAATTTATTCCAATACAATATTTGAAAAATTTATTAATTATTTTTATTTACTGCTGACCATGTCCACACTATGTTTTAAAAGTACAATGATTCATAAAAGCATATTGTACCCCACTTACCCTTCTCTTTAAAAAGTCAAACTTCTCTTTGCAATCCATGCATGTTGGACTCTGAAATGAACATGGTAGTTTTATTTATAAAGATATATACTGAATCATGTAGCATCATTAAGCAAACAAAAACCATTATAAAGAAATAAAGAAAAAATGATGCATTACCGTATAAACAAACAAATAGAAGCTGATTGTTGTACAATAATGAGGAAGTGTTAATCAACTAAGAACTACCTATAAACCCCTTGCATGTGACATCATAAGACAACCTGTGGAAGTTGGAAGTTCCACTGATAAAACTGAGAATTGTATAGCTTCACAACAAAGTGAACAGCATCCCAGTAACTGTCAGTGCAGGAACCCCAATACACCTGATCATTTAAAAACTGTATGATGCCATATACAATTCTAAAGCAGATACACACACACAGAATCACTTATGTACATGTGTGTGTGTTTATTTTTGTTTATGTATGTGTGTACATAAAACCACAACTCCTTGCCACCCCCCGCCAAACACACCCATAGTAGGACCTCCAAAAACCAGACACTATCATAACAGACCTCATCTTTCTATGTGAATTACTAAACATTTTGGAATTTTCTAAAAGCAAATGATAGAACATATTAAACTATGCACGTAGTGAAACAAATAATTTATGTGATCCCAGCCTTGATAATTTGTCAGCATCGATTAAAGCTCTTCGTCCAAATTATGATGTCTCTTCTTGCTTTTACCTGTTCTACCCAGACTACTTTTGCTAAGAGACATGCTTTCATCCCATTAACAATTAATATAAAAAGAAAGTTGCATCAAAATTCTTGAATAAGCATCTGCAGCTCATATGAAAAAGATTACATTGAGTTGACGTATCTAGTGTGGTAGCATTGAGCAGTCCACAGAAAATAAGTCACAAACTGCACTGTATCAGACCCAGTCTCCAGGCACCAAAACCAAGTACAGCACTGTATATAGTAAATTATTTCTAAATCAATTGAAAATGCTACCATTGTATGCAAAACACATCATACTACTTTGCATATTAATATCAGACCTTAACAACGAACAATTCCTAAGAAATGAATTTAAGGACTGTAATTTGTCACAAGAAAATCAGACAGGTGATATGTTTGAACAAACGGACGTCAACCAGTAGGTTGGCTAATGAGTAAGCTTACTTTTATTCTTGTCAATAGGCAAATATATTCTTCGTCCAAAGCTAAACTCAGCAGTGTTCCAAATTAATTTAGTCTCCACTGGAGACTAAATAACTCCATCACCACTGGAGTTATTTTTTACAACCTTCACTTGATGTTCATTACCAGTTATAGACTACATGGAGGTTGTGCACTGAAATTTGGAAGCAACTTCCATTAGAAGTGACTTATCACAATATTTCAACAACAATTACCTGTACCTCCAAATGTTGGTCTAATTTTCATGTAACTGATGCCCAAAACCACTCATGCTTCAATCATGCCTGGAGGTGGTTCAGAGTTCTTCTACTCCCCAAGCCCAGCAATTATTTAAGCTTATAACATTGGACTTTATTCACTTAGAACGATACAAATTCAAACACTATACATCATCTTTGAATTATCAAGGCTTTTTTTGTATAGTCAAAATAAAGTTTATTATTAAGAATAAAATAATTAATATTAACAAAAAATTAAAATTACTTTAATAAGACGACATTGTTGACAAAACTTCACTCAACAAAACATTGAATTAGTGCCATATATTCCCACCATAAACTGTCACCCATTCATCCCCTGTGAGGAAGCTAGTGTTAAACGTTCTAAAGAGCCTAATGGCCTCCTCGTCGAGGCCACTAGTGTTAGTGGCACGCTCTCAGGTATATTCAGGTAAATAATGCAAACTGCAATGATCATACGGAAGTGAAGTTAAAAAGTACTTTCCTCACTTGATAAATGTAATTTTTCTTTAAACTCTTACCAGCTTGTCAGGTATCCATTCAGGTTCTCTCAGCTCAAATGGGCTTCTGTCTGAATCATTTAGAGGAACAATCCTCAGTCCTGATTTTGAGCGGATGAGCCTTTTTCCCGTTGCTGTAGTTCCAGCCATGTTTATTTACTTTGAGAAAGAACCTACGGGACTAAAACCTTTAACCACAACACCCGCAGGATTTCCGCACCTGCGGCCTTTTTTAACCTTATAATTAATTGCAATGTCTTTGCTGATGCGTTATCAATAATATTATACGTAAACATCTTAGTGGAACTATTTAAAAAGCACGATTTAAGGAGTGCAAAATAATTGTTTGTGCTAGAGGCCTCTGGGTTAGGAGGCGTGGCAAGTGTTAACCAATGGGCGTCGAGGCCAACAGGAACTGTGCCAACCCACCAATGGGAGGCGAGCGAGACTTGCAACTGAGGAACGTTCTGTACGGGAATCTATCTTCAGATGTAGTTACATTCAAGTTAACAACATCAAATAGCATTTCCTACTCTCATTATTTATAACCCAAAATGCTTAAACACTCTAAGATATATACTATTTTAATAAATAACATAAAGTATGCTGCAGAATCTTGCAGACTCTGGCCAGAATCAGGCAGCGCCCTGAGGCGGGGTCCACATAGCGCAATATCGGAACGCACCCACAAACATGAGCCTTATCAAGAATGAGAGGAAATGGGGTGTATAGATGCTCCTGGATGCTGCTCACTCACTCCCCTACTGCTCAGGAATAGTAAATAGTTGTTAGTCTAGCACAGTGAGCACAGTAACTGTTTTAAGGTAAGTTTAAGTGCGCGTATATTGTATATATATAAATGTATTTAATATTAATAATCGGTAGTATTAATTATGCCAATTCTAAATTATTAAACGTTAAAGGTTATATATTTTGTTAGTGTAATATATGTATAGGAAATTCTGGTTTATTAACAAGGGAAGCAAGTGGTATTATATCTGTGCTAGGAATTCTAATACGTTGAATGATGTGTCTGTTGCTAGTGTTTTTTCTGATTGGTTTTATCTGTGACTCACTCACACACACACACACACACACACACACACACACACATGTTATGGAATGTGGAATAGGAGAACACACTAACATCTAGATAGAAAACTATCACCTGAGGACCACATTAAGAATATTGTGCAAGGAGCCTATGCAATGCTTTCTAACTTCAGAATTGCATTTAAATACATGGATGGCGATATACTAAAGAAATTGTTCATGACTTTTGTTAGGCCAAAGCTAGAATATGCAGCTGTTGTGTGGTGCCCATATCTTAAGAAGCACATCAACAAACTGGAAAAGGTGCAAAGACATGCTACTAAGTGGCTCCCAGAACTGAAGGGCAAGAGCTACGAGGAGAGGTTAGAAGCATTAAATATGCCAAAACTAGAAGACAGAAAAAAAGAGGTGATATGATCACTACATACAAAATAGTAACAGGAATTGATAAATCGACAGGGAAGACTTCCTGAGACCTGGAACTTCAAGAACAAGAGGCCATAGATTTAAACTAGCTAAACACAGATGCCGAAGAAATATAAGAAAATTCACCTTCGCAAATAGAGTGGTAGACGGTTGGAACAAGTTAAGTGAGAAGGTGGTGGAGGCCAAGACCGTCAGTAGTTTCAAAGCGTTATATGACAAAGAGTGCTGGGAAGACGGGACACCACGAGCGTAGCTCTCATCCTGTAATTACACAGGTAATTACACACACACACACACACACACACAGGATGGATTATTTAACACTGGTGGTACACGCACAAGGGGACACAGGTTGAAGCTAAGTAGTCAAATGACCCACAGAGACATTAGAAAGAACTTTTTCAGTGTCAGAATAGTTAGCAAATGGAATGCACTAGAAAGTGATGTGGTGGAGGCTGACTCCATACACAGTTTCAAATGTAGATATGTTAGAGTTCGAGAAGCTCAGGAATCTGTACACAGGTAGACTGACGGTTGAGAGGCGGGGTCAAAGAGCCAGAGCTCAACCCCCCCCCCTCCCCCCCGCTAGGTGAGTCTAGGTGAGACAACTAGAAACTTTGTACTCGTTTTTGGTGAGTACAAAGAAGTGAGTACAGACTCTCTCTCTCTCTCTCTCTCTCTCTCTCTCTCTCTCTCTCTCTCTCTCTCTCTCTCTCTCTCTCTCTCTCTCTCTCTCTCTCTCTCTCTCTCTCTCTCTCTCTCTCTTCTATAAGAGTTATTAGGAATGTTTTTTTCTTTCGAATGTTTTTTGGAGCAATTTATATTTGGTGCACCACGAAAAGGCTATTATAAAAGGTGCGCAGTGCAGGGGTTAAACAAAATACAGGGAACAAAACAATCAAATCTGCCTATAGTAGGAAAACAGCATGTAAAGGATCAGCTGGGAATGATGTCTGACAATCTAACATTTAGCGAACATAACCAAATAAATATAATGTCAGCTAGAAAAATTATTGGATGAAGTACGAGAACCGTTAAATCCTGGGAACTCATCACAACGGTTGTACTATTTAAATCATTTGTGCTCTCTTCTATAGGAGTTGATAGATTGAGTAACCTTAATTTGCGTTCGTAGATTAGTTCTCTTATTGAAAATCTCTAGCTTTGTTTAGGCTTTCGTATTTTTCTTCACTAGATGAGGAATTAATGCTGATCATGATGTGTAGCCTAAAATTATTTGACGTTGGTTGTGTAAATTGTCTTGGAAGATCCTTTGGTAACCTTTTATAATAATAATAATGTTTATTCAGGTAAAAGTACATACATTCAAAATGAGTTACAAACAGAATGTTGGATTTCTAAATAGAGCTGGTATATACTATGCCTAAAGTCACACACATATACGTACAGCGTTACGGGCAAAGAAACCATTCTAAGGCCATTTTCAAATGCCATTCAAATGTTTACCAAGTTCGCATATGTTGCTGATGTCCCCTATGTAAGTGTCTTGTGTTAGTGTTGGTAGTGCGCCTACTCTATAATCTTTCACGTTGTTTTAATTCTTATAGATGTCTTCTCGTCACAATGAAGTTTCCTTTTGATCTCTTTCCTCTAATTTCATCTATTACCATACACTTGCTGTGGTTTAAGTCTAGTATGCCTCTATCTGCTCACTCCTGCAGCTTGCTAAGGTCTTCCTGCATCGTCCTACAGTCCTCCTCAATATTCGCTTTCATTAACTTTTCCTTTTTTGTGTGTGTGAAGAAATTGACATATAGGACTTCAGTTCTTCCGGTAAGTAATTTTCAATAATTAAAAGTAACGTGGGACCATTCCCTGAGGGACCTGGCTGGCTACATCTCTCCATTCCTACATCTCGGGTGTATTTGCGGTGATAGAGTGGGGGCGGGGGGGCTAGGAACCGAACATTTCCCCTTCAACATGAGTGCTATAATCTCTAAATTTGAACTCACGTGTGGAGTTCAACATCAAAGATAAAGATGGTGACCATGACGACGGTGACGATATATCCGTGAAGCTGCCGTGTTGTGTATTTCACAGATGAAGGTGACAGCGGTAGTGCTGATGGTGATGGTGACGATGGTGAACGGAAGAAACGTTCTGATGATGGTGGCAGACGATGGTGGCTTGGAAATGAAGGTGAGTAATGGCAGCTCTACACCTGCCTACAAGAGTCAACAGGTGTGTTGGCTTTATGGAAGTCAAGCAGTATTGTGACAGGTTAGTTGTGCAGGTGTGCTAAATCAGGGCACCGCTCCTGTGCCAGGTAAGTTACGGGCTCACCATAGCCCGTGCTACTTGGAACTTGTTCCGAGTAGCTGAATCTATAACAACAACAACAGGTGTGTTAAACATCATGGATATACATCATGGCAGCTGAATTATATTTATGGATTTTCATCATGGATATAATTCATGTATAATTAAAGCAATATTTGACGCGTATGAGGCACGTGAGAGATAATTAAGGAAATGTTTAACATGTATGAGGTACATGGGGAATAATGTAAATAAATAATTGACAGTTATGAGCTCCGTGAGAGTTAATTAATGAAATGTTTGACAGATATGAGGTACGTGAGGAATAATTAATGAAATGTTAGACAGGTGTGATGTATGTGAAGGATAATTCGCTCAACGTTTGACAGGTGTATGGGAACTCTGTGATTGAGATGCCTCACCTGGATGCTCTGGCCGGCCAGAGTGTGGTGTTCACGCGGGCCTTCACCTCCGTCAGCAGCTGCTCGCCCTCGCGCTCCGCCATCTTGACGGGCTTGCCCACCCACCAGAATGGAATGTACGGCCTCCACCAGGGCTACCATCACTTCAGCTCTTTCGACGGCGTGCGCAGCCTGCCGGAGATCCTATCGGGGTCGGGCGTACGCACTGGCATCATCGGGAAGAAGCATGTTGGTCCAGAAGCTGTTTATCCATTTGAGTTCGCGCACACGGAGGAGACGGAGTCTATCCTGCAGGTCGGGCGGAATATAACCCACATGCGGCAGCTGGCGCGGCAGTTCCTCCAGGCCAACGACACGCGTCCTTTCTTCCTGTACGTGGGCTTCCACGACCCTCACAGGTGCGGCCACACGCACCCAGAGTACGGACAGTTCTGTGAAAAGTTTGGCAACGGCGCGCCTGGCATGGGTGTCATCCCGGACTGGCACCCCACGCACTACACCCCAGAGCGGGTGACTGTGCCTTATTTCGTGCAGGATACACCCGCTGCCAGGGACGACCTTGTTGCACAGTACACCACGCTCTCCCGCCTCGACCAGGGCGTGGGACTCCTGCTGGAGGAGCTGGCTACAGCTGGCCAGCTCAACGACACTCTGGTTATCTACACTTCAGACAACGGTATACCTTTCCCCGCCGGCAGGACCAACCTGTACGACCCCGGGCTGGTGGAGCCCCTGCTGGTGTCGTCGCCGCTACACCCAGCCTCCCGGGGTCGTACCTCCAGCAGCCTCGCGTCTCTCCTCGACCTCACGCCTACCGTCCTCGACTGGCTGCGGGTTCCCTACCCTCACTACTACATCCTCAGGAAGGACCAGCCAGCGATGCTCACCGGACGATCCCTGCTCCCGTATCTTGACTTCGCCGGGCGGGGCGTGTCCCAGCAGAAGGTGGGCGTGCCCAAGCAGAAGGTGGGCGTGCCCAAGCAGAAGGTGGGCGTGCCCCAGCAGGTGGGCGTGCCCCAGCAGGTGGGCGTGTCCCAGCAGAAGATAGGCGTGTGGCAGCCCAACGTGGGCGTGGCAATATCCGAGCCGGCAGTGTTCGCCAGCCACGACCTGCACGAAGTGACGATGTATTACCCGATGCGCGCCCTCCGCACGCCCTCCTTCAAGCTGATCCACAACCTTAACTACAGGATGCCCTTCCCCATCGACCAGGACTTCTACCTGTCGCCGGTCTTCCAGGACATCCTCAATCGGACTCGGGAGTCGTTGCCGCTGCCCTGGTACACGACCCTGCGCCACTACTACTACCGCGACCAGTGGGAGCTCTACGACCTGAAGGCGGACCCGGAGGAGCGCTACAATGTAGCGGGGAAGGGGCGCTACCAGGGGGTGCTAGCGGCGCTCCAGGAACGACTGCGGGCCTGGCAGAACGCCACCTACGACCCCTGGCTGTGTGGCCCCTCAGCCGTACTTCAGGACTCCGGCCCTTACGCCACACACCACGCCTGCCTCCCTCTCTATAACGACCTCTGACGATCTTATCCACGAAGCGTTTATCCCTCTCTATAACGGCCACTAGCGACCTCTTCTTCCCCCCTCTACGACTCCACGAAGACTGTTTCTTTCAGTAACAACGTCGAACTAGCTCCTTTATTCCCCTTCACGACTACAAGCAGCCTAGGTGTCGTTTCACAACGACATTAGACAATCTCTGGACCCTGTCGGCTCCTCCAAGATGACCTCATATTCACACCAACGACCTCTCATCACCATGATTGTTATACGATTGCCTTGACAACGTCCGCCATACCCTACACAACGACCACTGGCAGAGTGTGAGCCACCTTACGACCCCACCAACTAGCCTGCCCTTACAGTTTGCTCCATTTTAATTCCTATTCACGACCCAACCCCGACTTATATATAGTGTTACCATGTGGAGACCGACCCGAAACAAGTAGGTGTGTGGTTAACGACCCTAGCCAAGTCAGTGTGTGGTTAACGACCCTAGCCAAGTCAGTGTGTGGTTAACGACCCTAGCCAAGTCAGTGTGTGTGGTTAACGACCATAGAGAAGTCGGCGTGCGTTTAACGACTCTAGATAAGGTGTCAGGTAGTGAAGGCCACTGCACTGAACGACCCCACACCGTGTTGCTAAGCCTTGGACGTTTAGTTCATTTATTATGCACCCCATACCCATCTTGGTAGTGGAAAGGGTTACAGAGGCACATAATGGGCTCAGGGACTGAACCCCACAATTCATTTAGCTAAGCAAGTTACAATCTTGATGAGCTAGTTACAAAATTCAATATAAGTCGTCACATCAACAATGGGTTCGAGATCGACCACAAGTACAGTTTCTAAATTGAGCAACTGACATATGTGGAGAGCTAGTGTCACAATTGATATGTTTGTCCTGCACACCGCCCCCCATCCAGTGGGCAGTGGTGGATAGGTTACAATCACTTAGTTACTACCTACAGTTAGCAAACTGGGGATATTTGGCTGAAATTTCTGGTAGCAGATCATTTTGAATGAAATATTTACACATTGCTGGAACATTGGTTATAGAATTGTCTTTAAATTCACGTATCTTTTCGCACTCCATCACATAGTGACGGAGGGTGTGCGAATAATTTTGTTGACACAGTTTACATTTGGTCAGGTCTACATCAGTAGATAATGAGAATTCCCAGAGATACTTGTAACCGAGTCTAAGCCGAGCAGTAGTAACATGGACGACCCTACATAATGTTGATAATCTCGGGACGACTGGCCCAACCACTTGGACTGGACGGTAGAGTGACGGTCTCGCTTCATGCAGGTCGGCGTTCAATACCCGACCGTCCAAATGGTTTGGCACCATTCCCATCCGTCCTTTCCCCCGTCCCATCCCAAGTCATTATCCTGATCCTTTCCAAGTGTTGTAAAGTCGTAATGGTTTGACACTTTCCCATGATAGTTCCCTTCCCTTCGGGACGATTGAAACCAGGGGTGCCAAAGGTTGATGTCACCTACACAATGGTGCCAAGCGTTGATGGCACCTACACAGTGGTGCCAATGGCTGATGGCACCTAAACAGAGGTGCCAAACGCTGATGGCACCTATGTAACATCTATACCTAAGCAGCTTTAATGAAAGTAGTTCACTGGTTCGAGGCTTTTATTTCTCCTTTGGCACTGTTGTTGGTGAGAGACTGTTGTGGGTGAGAGACTGTTGTTGGTGAGAGACTGTTGTTGGTGAGAGACTGTTGTTGGTGAGAGACTGTTGTTGGTGAGAGACTGTTGTTGGTGAGAGACTGTTGTTGGTGAGAGACTGTTGTTGGTGAGAGACTGTTGTGGGTGAGAGACTGTTGTGGGTGAGAGACTGTTGTTGGTGAGAGACTGTTGTGGGTGAGAGACTGTTGTTGTGAGAGACTGAGAGACTGTTGTTGGTGAGAGACTGTTGTTGGTGAGAGACTGTTGTGGGTGAGAGACTGTTGTTGGTGAGAGACTGTTGTTGGTGAGAGACTGTTGTGGGTGAGAGACTGTTGTGGGTGAGAGACTGTTGTGGGTGAGAGACTGTTGTGGGTGAGAGACTGTTGTTGGTGAGAGACTGTTGTTGGTGAGAGACTGTTGTTGGTGAGAGACTGTTGTTGGTGAGAGACTGTTGTTGGTGAGAGACTGTTGACTGTAGCCTGTAGTTCCTCAGCCTGTAGTTCCCCAGCCTGTAGTGGCCCAGCCTGTAGTGCCCCAGCTTGTAGTGGCCTATCCTGTAATGGCCTAGCCTGTAGAGGCCTAGCCTGTAGTGGCCTAGCCTGTAGTGGCCTAGCCTGTAGTGGCCTAGCCTGTAGTGGCCTAGCCTGTAGAGGCCTAGCCTGTAATGGCCTAGCCTGTAGAGGCCTAGCCTGTAGAGGCCTAGCCTGTAATGGCCTAGCCTGTAGAGGCCTAGCCTGTAGTGGCCCGCATTCCAGGGTCACGCACCCGCTGGAGGACTAACCCCGGCCATCCCACGGTACAACCTCTCCCGGGGGCTGCTGGTGAGGGGAGACCAGGTCAAACACGTGCACGGTCACCTGATGATGAGGGTCACCTATGACCTTGAGCCTGATATAGCTTGACCTCTGTCGGGTCAGGTCACATTAGGGGCTCATGCGAAGTGTTATTCCCGGCAGTTCCCCCCGTGACCTTTGACCATCGTGGGAAATGTGTGTGTGCATTCGGAGGAGGAGGAGGGAATAGAGAGAGCGAGAGAATGAATGGGAGGAAGAGATAAGAGACGGATGGAGAGATAGAGAATGAGGTAAAGAGATGGAGGCAGAGGTAAAGAAGCGGAGGGAGAGGTAGAGAGACGGAGGGAGAGAGAGAGAGAGAGAGAGAGAGAGAGAGAGAGAGAGAGAGAGAGAGAGAGAGAGAGAGAGAGAGAGAGAGAGAGAGAGAGAGAGAGAGAGCTAACAACAAGAAGGAGAAACAGCAAAGAAGAAATGGGGTAGAGGTAGATAAGAGCACACAAAAAATGTAATAAAAATTAGATAATAATCCGAAAAATATGCGATGCTCCTGCGCATCGCATCGCTTCAGCTCCTGCGTTTTCTTGTTGATGTTTTTGTAAGCAGATCCTTGAGACGAGGCCGTCTTGAAGGTCGTTTTCATAAGCCGTCGATCTTCGGCCCAACTTACGATGAAGAATCACAAGCTACTAACTCTTTTGAGCCCTGCGACGGCATCTCTGAGACACTTTACGGGGCCCATGTTCTATCGTCTGTGAGCTTTTAGACTCTGCCAGAGTTCGTAGTGGCGCCTATGAGCCTTCAGACTCCACCAGGGCGCGCAGTGACGTCTGTGAATGTCTGGGGCCCTTTGACATGTTTGAGTGTGAATGTTTGGAGTCATGTGACGCTGACTACGAATGTTTGGGTCCCTGTGACACTGGTTGTGACGTTGACTGGGAATGTTTAGGGCCCTGTGACGTTACGAAATTTATTGGTTATAAAATAGCAACATGAAAAAAACGAAAGTTTGTTTCATAGAAGCTGTAGATTTCTTCGAACTCCTCCTGCGCAGGGCAGGAACTGAGGATGCAGTGAACATTTTTCCCCCTCTGGATCGCCATATTGAGGCGCTGGAAAATGAAGCTCGCTGCTCGAAGACAAGGCTCCTCTTAATGATGTCGTTAAGTTCAAGTTCGTCGTGCCTTGTCTGACATCTTATATTGTTTTCCACGGTGAAAATGCAACCCGTATTCGTTTGCTTCTGCCTCGCCAAAAAATAAACTTATCTACAATGTGAATTGGGGCAGCAAGACGGAGGGCAACTGCAGCGCGGAGTTTCTGCCGCTAATCAAGACGTGTGTCTGTCACAGTCATAATGACCGCTAAATGGAAGTCCCAAGCATGGGGAGCTGCACAGCTGTGAGGCAAGCATAGTCATTGGGGACTGTTGTTGCATCGAAAGTTGTAGCTTCTTTGTCCACACACACACACACACACACACACACACACACACACACACACACACACACACACACACACACACACACACACACACACACACACACACACGTGTGAACGGAAGTGCACTATATAGGCCCTATGACCCACATTAGGGAAGAGCCATAAAGGTATACTAACACCTTCCTCTCTTATTTATTACCTGAAGCTAATATCCGGTGATCAGGCAGATCGTCGGACACTGACGGACGCCCCTGGACGACCAGCGGACCGACGGACGCCCCTGGACGACCAGCGGACCGACGGACGCCCCTGGACGACCAGCGGACCGACGGACGCCACCACACTGGTACTGGTGTCCTTGTTTACCTTAATGTTATTGTTGTGCTGTTGTTGTGTTGTTGTTATGGCACAGGAGCAGGTGTTGGTATTGTTGGTGAGATCTTCGTGTTGGTCTGTGGGTTATGGTGACGGGGAGATTGTGAGGGGGAGGGGGGGACTGTGAGGGGGGGGGCTGTGAGGGGGTGGATAACTGTAAGAGGGGGGGGGAGACTGAGGGAAAAGGGGTTAAGTAAGAGAAGGGGGGGTAAAGAAAGACAAGGAGTTGTGTAGGGGGGGGGGAAGGAGGGGGTTAGGTGGAAGTGAGGGGGGGGGGTTTGAGAAGGGGGGTAGGGGAGGAAGTACATCAAGAGGGGAGTACCTGTGTCACGTGCCCGGAAACTCCAAGGGAGGAGGAGGAGGAGGAGGAGAGAGGTAGGGGAGAGTAGAGGGGTTGGGTCACGTGATAGGGGGGCAGGGAGCAGGGGCTGGGGGCCGGGAGCTTGGGCCAGGGAGCAGGAACAGGGTTAAGGGCAGGGGACAGCAGGAGGGACACGGGGTCAGGGGCACGGGGGGCAGTGGTTGAAATTCCCTTCATAATGATGAATATTCCGGTAAGTTTTCCCTTGAGGTTCAAGCGAAGATTGAATCCGTGTAGAGTGAGCATTAATCCTCCAGTGATTGACGAGTGATCACTACAGTGCCAACGGTGAGGTACTGTGACGACATGGTGAGTCACTAGGCAGCTCATCAATACAGTGCCAACGGTGAGGTACCGTTGAGGTGAGAGAGTGGTAGAGGAGCACCACTAAGCACCCTGGCTCACCACTGACTCACCAATGGGTGACTGGTGAGGCCGGCGGGGTGAATGACTAAGTACCCGCATGTTTACTCCTGGAAAGGCGATTATTCTGCCCGTTCCCCCTTTACTAAGCCTCTCTCTCCCTTCTCTCTCTCTCTCTCCCCTCTCTCTCTCTCTCTCTCTCTCTCTCTCTCTCTCTCTCTCTCTCTCTCTCTCTCTCTCTCTCTCTCTCTCTCTCTCTCTCTCTCTCTCTCTCTCTCTCTCTCCTCTGCTGTGTGACTTGAAAATAATAATAATAATAATCAGATATCACACTGACATGATATGTATCAATAGGAAAATCAAATGGATCAATTAGGTGACTCGAACCAGCGCTCAAAGAACTCTCAGCCGCGCACCTCACCCTCACCCCATGTACCACGACATGTGATATATAAGTTCTACAACCTGTCGATTCCACATAGTCTGGAGACTTGCTACTGAAACCAGCCCAAGTTTTACATATAACGCCCCCCTCCCCCCACCCCCACGAGCACTCTGGTGTAGGTGAAGTAGTTGATCAGTCGTAGGCTCCTGCTTCATGCCTCATTGCACTGCAAGCTATCCTCAGGACAAGCTCGTTAAAGCGGCGGCCGTACTCCCCCACACCCCCAGTCCCAACTTTCCAAGATGCAATTTATCAATTTTTAATGTATGTGAAGTACGTGGGTGAAGCATTTATAGCGTTGTGATTGGGACAAACGT